ATAGACGACGGCGCCAGGAAAATCTATCAGTGGCCAGATGTAGACCTTCCGATAAGACGCTTGGTCACCAATGTAAACCTACAGATACACAGAATGCATTTGCAAGCCAGCGCAGGTAAGTGATACAGATAGCTGAGTATGTATTGTGGAGAGAAGATGCGTGGATTCTAGCAAGCGACGGATATGTGTAGAGATGTACGGAGCCTACAACGAGTCGCTGCAAAAATGATGGATAAGACAGGACGAACGACAAATAATGGCTCTAGGAGGGAGAGTGTCGGTGACCAGCAACGATATTCGAATTAAGCCTTCCAATTATCATTGGATACCTACAGTGACAGAATAAGTCAAGAAACCAGCACAGGTACGTGTTGCAAACAATCCAAGCGAGTAAGCGTTGGAGCGATATGGAGTGGCTCCTCGCGCAAAGGTGCATGCTACCCGCAATGCGCCGTTGCTGCTGAAAATTGCTAAATGAGGTTAGACAAAGAGCAGTTAATGTCGCTAGGTTACAAAATATCGGTGGCTAGCAATGGCATTTGGGTGAAGCCTTCTAGTTCTTAGTTGGTACCTACCATGTCCCAGTAAAAGTCAAAAGACAGCAAATGCATGTGACGTAGGCCGTCCCAGAGGGTTAAGGTTGGCGGGATAAAAGAGTGGCTCTTAGCAAGCTCCGGATATACTCAGAGATACATGCAGCCTACGAAGCATGGCTGCTGCTAAAACATAGTTGCCAAGGGTAAGGCAATGAACTGATAATGGCACTGGAGCGGGTGTATCGGTGGCTAGCATTGGCATTTGGCAAGGCACGAACGAAGCCATCTGAGCAAGCAAACTTCAATCCTCACGTCTTGTCGCCACCATCATTCCTTGTCTACAGCTGTAACTTTTAGCACTTTCCGAATGCTTAGACCACTAAGTCAGTGGAAAAGATATTAGGCTTATGAACTTTGAGCGACGCGTAATGTGCCGCCAAAAGATAACGGCACTTTTATGCAATGTTTACTTGTCGACCAAGTGTACATTATTCTTTCTTGTTTTAAGCTTCCTTACAACCGGCGCGACATTCGACTGCCTTGTAAGTTCGCGGGCTAACGTGAACCACCTACCTTGCTTTATTCGTTCGCGTCTTCTGGTAGCCCATCGAATACAGTCCGCTGTGTCCGACTACAATTGTCTTCTGATATCCGCGCTTACTTGCGCGCACCGTCTTGTACTAGTAATTAATAGTCCGACAAATTAGTGACATCGATTCGAACGCGCGAATTTAACCTTTTTCACTATTTGCATTTTTGGTGGGTTTGCTCCGTTTTCTCGATTATATACGTGTATTCATTTGTTTCTGACGTAATTTCGTACTTTCCTCGTATTTTTGTTCCTCCTTTATCTTTTCGACTCTTTTCAAGGGTGGCAACTGAGTCGTTTCGCAGCGTAGACATGCTTACTTTGGCTGTTCCAGGTTTCATGGAACACAGCCCAGAGGTTTGGCTTACGCTATTCGAGATCGAACTTGAAAATAAAGGCACTACAGCGGACCGTCGGAGGTACAATCAGCTCGTCCCACGCCTTCCTTTTCGGTTATGACGCTGGTTGAGGACATCCTGCTCTGCCCATCAAATGTGGCTATATATGAAACGATTAACCAAGCGATGTTAAAAGAGTTAAGGCTCAGCGCTTGAGCTCGAGTTGAACAACACAATGGTCTCAAGCACAGAGAACGAAAGCCGTCAGCGTTGCTCCGCTAACTTCAGCGCAACGCTGGTCCCTTATTCTTG